TGTGAAACAGATTTTTGTTCATTACTAAAAAGCACATATTTAATTGTTTGAATTACTAGTTTTCTTCACTAGTATTCAAATTAGGGAGACTCACAAAAATGCCCCTTTTTTAATACCCCTTTTCAAAAATGCCCCCTTTGGCTGTCCATTTTTAAAAATACCCCTTTTTATGTACAAAATGACTAAATTACCCTTCTTTTAATAAAAGATATCACAAATATATAAGGAAATATAACAAAATTAGGTCTACAAAATACAAAATATTTTTTGGCGGGAAAAGTGATCCCGCAATTTTTCCCGCCAAAACACTTGTAAAAACTTGTAAAACCTTTAAAATACCTTGTAAATTTTTGGCGGGAAAAACTTTTTCCCGCCAAAAAATTTTTTTTGCAGGAAAAGTGATTCCGCAATTTTTTTGGCGTTAAATTTTTGGATTTTTCCCGCCAAAAATTTACAAGGTATTTTAAAGGTTTTTTACAAGGTATTTATAAGGTTTTACAATGTATTTTAAAAGGTTTTACAACGTATTTACAAGGTATTTATAAGATATTATAAGATTTTACAAGCTATTTTATAAGGTTTTTACAAGTTATAAGGGTTTTACACAGTTTTTTATAAGGTTTTACAAGTTATAAATACCTTATAAAACCTTATAAGTACCTTGTAAAACCCTTTTAAAATACATTGTAAAACCTTACAAAACACTTGTAAATACTCTGTAAAACCTTTAAAATACCTTGTAAATTTTTCCCGACAAAAATTTTCCCGCCAAAAAAAAAAATTGCGGAATCACTTTTCCCGCAAAAAAATTTTTTTGGCGGGAAAAATTTTTACGGGAAAATTTTACAAGGTTTTTTAAAGGTTTTTACAAGTGTTTTGGCGGGAAAATTGCGGGATCACTTTTCCCGCCAAAAAATATTTTGTATTTTGTGGACCTAATTTTGTTTCAAATAAGGGTAAAATGGTCATTAAAAACTAAAAGAGGGCAAACTTAAAAATGGACTTTCAAAGGGGGCATTTTTGAAAAGGGGTATTGAAAAAGGGACATTTTTAACAATTTCTCTTCAAATTAAGCGTTTTTTAAAAAACTTTCAAAGCAAAGTTACTTAACTTTGATTGTTTTTAACCATTTGCATCATCCATATTTTATTATTTTTTGGTTGAATTGTGTCTAATATATTATAAATGATGTTTTAATTAAAAAATTAAATGATTACTTAATTAGTGTGCAAAACTTTAAACATCGCAGAGGAAGTATTATATACCAATTAATTAATAGTTTTACAAATACAGTTTTATTTTCCCATATTGTTTTAATTTAAAGTTGTAAATGATTTGTAGCAAAAATACAAAACTGTGTACTTTATAAAATGTTTCTATGTATTGGATCCAAGTAGGATTTGGAAGACTTTGAAGGGCACATCTTTTTCAAAGTTTACTTATATATTAAATGTATGATAAAGTCATTGTTTATATGTTTTTTTCTAGAACACATAATTTTCCACAATATGATAATTTAAATTAATTGAATTTTGCTTCTTTTGTTTTATTTTGGTTGATTTGTGGATAAAATCCAAAAATTACAGTCACTATCTTTCGACGTGTCTTACTTGCAACCTAATCCTTTTCTACAATCTAGCTTTTTTTAATTTATTTATATTGCTTTGTCTCTTAGTCCAAATAAATTTAAAGCATTTTTGTTTTAGTGAATTAATTAGCTATTTCTATATTTCTAAAATAAACCATAAGGATCATAGTTCATACTCGTTATGCTATTCTTAATTTTCTGAAAATATCAATTTAACGTTATATACAAAAAGACTATCAATAAAATAATTTAATTTTATCAAAATAAAATGAATTTAAACTTAGATGACATTTCACATTTGTGACGAATGAATTGACGATGATGCAGGGTCGGTGGTGGTTCCGTTACGGAGACGTTGACGGTGCGTTATTGGCGTCAATATGAAGTATCTCCCTCATTCAACAAAAAACAGAAAAAGACCGTTTAGTTTACTTTGCTAGTTATTAAATATATTTACTTAATGGGCTTCATTCAAGCCCATAAAAAATGGCGTTTAACAAAACAGAAGCCATGTAATATATACTGTAAATCCATTTTTCTTACACATATAAATAATTGGGCTGTACTTGGGCTTGGACTGTTTCACTCTCTTTTTTTTTGATTAATAATGAATTTACATGATTGAAAATAACATGTCATTTTAGATATTTCCAAAATTAAAAAATAATTCCAACTGTCAACGGTCCACATACGTTATCTATAGTACAAATAATTCGTTTGATAAAATAATGTTGCTTGTCTCGTCAAATTGGAAGAAAAAAAACATTTTAAAATACAGAGAAACGAATTATTGAAAGGAGAAATTTTGAGACCATTCGGGTTTTGATTGATGCAAAAAAAAAAAAAAAAGATTCCCATTTTATCATCTTTTTTAGTTTTTTAGTGTCAACTCTCCAACAAAAGCAAAAACCTTAAAGAATTTTGTTCTTTTATAACAAAAAAGCAAAAGAACCAAACACGGTTTCACATGAATCCCAAGCAAAACTAAAAAAACAAACAGAAGACTGGAGATCGAATCTGTTCATGTTGATGGGTTTTGGCTGATATTTTGTAGAAAGAGAGAGAGAGAGAGTACTGAGTCTGTGTAAAGTTGAGACCTTTTTGGGTTTAGAGAGAGAAAGAACAGAGCTTTACAGAGATGGAGATGAAGCAGATGAAGTTTCTTACTCACCAAGCTTTCTTCTCCTCTGTTCGATCAGGAGATCTTAGTCAACTTCAACAGTTAGTTGATAATTTAACCGGAGATGAGTTAATCGATGAGTCATCGCCGTCTTCTGCTGTGGCTGAGCTTATGTCTGTTCAAAACGACGCCGGAGAAACCGCCGTGTATATCGCCGCTGCTGAGAATCTTGAAGAGATTTTCAGTTACTTGATTAGGTTTTGTAGTTTGGAAACAGTTAAGATCAGATCCAAATCCGACATGAACGCTTTTCATGTCGCTGCTAAGCGAGGTCACTTGGGTATGTTTCACTAATTTTGATAGGATTTGCTGCTTTTTGATTGGATTATGAAACTCAATTCCAGTCCTCTGACTTGAATTCGAAGCTCGAGTAATGTTGTTTTTGTATAATCCAACATTTCTACAATTTTCACTGAGTTTGGTTCTTTTTACTGACTTCAAATCTTCCAACTTTGGCTCTCTGATTATGATTTTGAATCTGCGATTGCTGAAAATGGATTTGAATTTCGTAGTTTGGAAGATATTCTGATTTGGCTCTGCTTATGATCTCCAGGGATTGTGAAGGAGCTACTGAGACTATGGCCCGAGCTTTGCAGAATCTGCGATGCTTCTAACACGAGTCCGCTTTACGCAGCTGCTGTTCAAGATCACTTAGAAATAGTAAATGCTATGCTTGATGTTGATCCGAGTTGTGCAATGATTGTGAGAAAGAACGGGAAAACATCTTTGCACACAGCAGGAAGGTACGGGCTTCTTCGAATAGTGAAAGCTCTCATAGAGAAAGACGTAGCCATTGTTGGTGTTAAAGATAAGAAAGGTCAGACCGCTCTTCACATGGCAGTTAAAGGGCGAAGTTTGGAAGTAGTTGAAGAGATTTTGCAGGCTGATTACACAATATTGAATGAGAGAGATCGGAAAGGGAACACTGCTTTGCATATCGCTACTCGAAAGGCGCGGCCACAGGTATTATACTGCTCCTTTCGTCTTGTTGTATCGTTCTTTAGCTTTCAAATATCCACTATAATACTTTAATTGCGTAAATGCCTTTGGATTTTGTTTCTTAGATTACGAGCTTATTGCTGACATTTACGGCGATTGAAGTCAATGCGCTTAACAACCAGAAAGAAACCGCTATGGATTTGGCGGATAAGCTTCAGTATAGCGAATCCGCTTTGGAGATAAATGAGGCTTTAGTTGAAGCTGGGGCTAAGCACGGGAGGTACATTGGTCGGGAAGATGAGGCGAGAGCACTGAAGCGAGCTGTAAGCGATATCAAACACGAGGTGCAATCGCAGCTTTTGCAGAACGAGAAAACCAACCGCCGTGTCTCTGGGATCGCGAAAGAGTTGAGGAAACTCCACAGAGAAGCAGTTCAGAACACCACTAACTCGATAACTGTGGTTGCGGTTCTGTTTGCATCGATAGCGTTCTTGGCAATATTCAACTTGCCGGGTCAGTATTTCACGGAGGGGTCGCATGTGGGACAAGCAGAGATCGCGGGGAGAACTGGATTCCGTGTGTTTTGTCTTTTGAACGCGACATCGCTGTTTATATCGCTAGCGGTTGTGGTGGTTCAGATAACTTTGGTTGCATGGGACACACGGGCGCAGAAGAAAGTTGTGTCTGTGGTAAATAAGCTAATGTGGGCAGCTTGTGCTTGCACGTTCGGAGCATTTTTGGCGATTGCGTTTGCGGTTGTTGGAAAGGGAAACTCATGGATGGCGATTACCGTGACATTGCTTGGAGCACCGATCTTGGTAGGGACATTGGCGAGTATGTGTTATTTCGTGTTTCGGCAGCGGTGTAGGAGCGGTAACGATTCACAGAGAAGGATTAGGAGAGGGAGTAGTAAGTCGTTCTCGTGGTCTTACTCTCATCATGTTTCCGATTTTGAAGATGAATCAGATTTCGAGAAGATTATTGCTCTTTGAATCTCGCAACACTATGTTGCTGAAACGTCTTTGTATAGATCGTCTCCTCCTCTTTACCTTTTTTTCAACGCAAGTCTGTGTTGTGTTCTTAGAATAAATCTTGTTGGTACATATTATCTGTATCATATATAGCAATAAAGTCGCCACCGGTATACCTTATCTGTATTGTTTCTTTTGTTCTACTACTGGGTAGTATATGCATTTCATTCGAGTACTAGTGAAGTGTAATGTTTCTTATTAGCAAACATTGTATAAGATATAATATCACTGAGAGATGAGGAAAATGAAAAAAGGAGCATCATTCAACATAAAAATATCCAATAAGTCACCTCTACAAACTCATGTGGTTTTCCAGTTATAAAAAAACAACACAAAACCACATGATCACTTCTTTTCCTTACATCCACAAAAGGTAGAATATAAAAGCTCCAAACAATGAAACAAATTCAAGAAACGAAACCCAAAAAAATATAAGGTAGACTGGGGGACTGAAGAAGAATCTCTCGTAAAAAAAAAAAAAAAAACCCGACAGAGAGAGAGAGGATGGACACGACCGTAGCTTTTCCACAAGTTCCGTCGAAACTTGAAGAGTTACTAAAAAAGAGAGATATACAATTTTACAGGAGACAAAAGGGATCGGTGGTGTCCACACAAAGAAGAAGAAGATGATGATGATTGTCGGGGATTGATATTATTTATTATATATGATTGATTACCAGGTAGGTTAAAGCTGTAATTGACCAGGGCCTTTTCTTGAAGATCTTGATGGAGGTCGATTGTTGTCTGCAACTGATGATGATGTCGAAGAAGGTGGTGGTCGTTGTTGTTGCTGTTGTTGTTGTTGTTGTTGTTGTTGCTGCTGTTGTTGTTCTTCAGATCTCCCCACCTCCTAATACATCAAATTACAGCACAATGAGACTATCCATATCTATTATTACTCCAATTGCTAAGGGAGAAACTGGTAAATCTTCGCAATTATGTTCCACCATTCTGTTACGTTATACCGCAGGTTAACAGATAAAAATTTGTTGCGTTGAGTGTACCTTTGATGTAGAAGAAGAGGAAGTGTGATATGAGTAGTTCACTCTAGTCCTTGCCTGGCCGCGATGTAGATTTTGTACGTTCTCAAACTGTTGTAGCCGCGCAGCAAAATTGATTCCTTGGTGAGAACTGTTGATATTATCCTCCTCTAAGTCACCGTCCTCGTTTTGATGCTTATACTGAGAGAAAGGAACTCCTGAAGTTGTTCTGCCTATTTGGTTTCCAGTACTGAATGAGTACGTTGGTACAGTTTTGAGTCTTGTCCTAAGTATCTTGAACGCCGCACTTTGCTGCATACATAAAAAACCAGGAACTATCAATTGTTTTAAAAAAAAACCCAGCAATTTTGTGACAAACCAAACCAAGAAAACCAGCAATTTTCTTATTTTCGTTTTACCTGAGGAAGTAACATTAGAAGACCATAAAGTGTTTTCAGCAACCATGTGTACCTTCCTGGTTCCAGAAGCTGCAGAAGAAAAAAAAAAGTTTTGGTAGCAACGAAAGAATCCGGAAAAGAAAACAGATTTTGGGATAATTCAAGCAAACCTGCAATCTAAGGTAAGTAAAGATTGGAGTTTCAAGAAGCCGGATCAATTTATCAAGCTGTACTAGAAATTTGACGTTAATGTCTTCTTCTACCAATGATTGAATCACGACACTCGCATGCTGGTAAGCCTGTAAATAATTCAGTTTCCTCAATATTCAATATAGATGGTCAACACGATCATATTGTATTAAATTTACATTTGTTTTTGTTTTTTACCTGAGCCAATAAGCAGAGGCTTATAATTGCCATGGGTGAATGGCACCATGAAGTATACAAGGCAACGAAAAGTTCTTTCCCTTCGCGATTGACGAGTGAACCTTTTAAAAGATCTCTTAGTTTCGATAATTCCGGGGAAGTAAGCAAAATCAAATTCAATGCCTGAAACATAAAACAAAAAGACAGTAGTGGTTAATACATCAAAGTGAGAAAATTATAACCGAAAAAGCCAGCCAGCTCTCAAGGGGCCATATAAAACACGCAGACAAAATAACTCACTGTATTGACCTTAAAACATTCCTTAATTGAAGAAAGCTAGGAAAGGAGATATTACCTGAACCATGGTAGAAGCAAAGTCAAGATTATCTTCTCCCTCAAGAATTGTAGAGAGCTCTCGGTAGACTCTTTCGGCATCCAAAAGTACACACATTCTTCGGACGATAAGGGCACCACGCCTATAACGAGATATGTTTGGACCAACTAAATAATATGTTCTTTCCAGAAACTTAAAAGGCGGATTATTAGATGCAACTAACCTTTCCAAAAGAGAATTATCAGCTCGGAAATTGTGGACTAGAAATACGATGAGCTGGCGAAAGTGTTGTGGATCTTTTGCTACACCAGCATGAACCTCCAGAACCAAGAGCACCACCTAAAGTATATTTTCAAGTCCAGGTAGTTCAAATATCAAATAAGTTAATTACCAGGCAAAACCAAACCTTTCTAGTTCACAACCAATCAAATAAACAGTCATGGAGATAAAACTTACGTCATCTGAAGAATCAGATAGTGCTTTTAGAAGGGTGTCAAATATGTCATTCAGGAAGCACAAGACCTGTTACAACATTACCAATTTAGCTATAAAGCGGTAAACAGAAAGGCTAACTAGAAAAGAATGATGCCCAAACAAAAACCAGTTTCTTCACCTCAGTACGATGTTTGTTCAAAAGTGTTGATATCCAATTCAATGCTTCAATCCGAGTAGCCTCAAAATCACTTGATAGCTGCCTGCTCAATGCAAAACTCACAAATCACAAAAACAAGCGAGATTTGATAATATTCAAAAGGGGAAAAAACAAAGATAGAGAAAAGCTAACCTCCTTGCAACAGAGAGAATTGCACCAACGTCAAAACCATCCGAGGGTTCAACATGGATTGAACGAAGTTCTTCATTGGTTTCACGAGCAACCTTATGCAATAAAAAAATCAAAAACCAAAGAAAGTGCAAAGCTGCATATAAACCTATAATTTCCATCATTGAAGAGGAGGAGAAACAAACTTACCACCCTGATTTTCTCTTCTTTGTCAGATATGCAAGGCAAGATAGCCCCAAGAATATCAGCGTAATAACGCACAAGCTGGTCTCCCCCAAGTTTTACAAACTCGTTTATCTAGAAAAACACATTTAAAAGAAAGCAGATATTCTTAGCATATGAATCTTCTGAGCACTCAAAGTATTAACCATATATGTAACTGGAAGAGGCCAAGCAGAAGCATGGTTTTTTCTGCTTACCCACGTAATGGCTGTTAATCGAGTGAATTCATCAGGAGAAGCAGCCCTCTGCACCAATATTTCAGCCATGCGACCATAATCTACAGACTTCAACAGTAGCACTGATCCAGTCAGTAATTTACCGATGAAACATACAAACAGTGTTTAAAAACAAACACGAACTAACAAGATAAGATAGATCCACAGAAAATGGGCTTTTATAGCAGCATTTTTATCTTAGTCCAAAAAAACAAGGCTGCAACAGAAGTCTTACTGGTGAATTTTTTATCTCTTGAAGAAACTCTGAAAGAGCTGAATCAGCCTGCTGTCTAATTTCATGACTAGAGTCGCTCAACATATTGAATAACCCTGGAATTTGATTGACAAATTGAGTCAGCTGAGCACACAAATAACTAAACTTGAATACGGAAATATAAATCTAGCTGAAGTTAGCAAATCGCAATTACCATCGAGAAAGTCTGGCAAAAACCCAAGCATATCAATGTCTGGAACACTATCAAGAACAGTGATCCATCCAACCAGAAATTGCCGAACATAAGGGTTTAGAACGTTCATGCGCTCTTTTAAAAGAGGTATGAATTCCTCAATACTGCAAAAATACAAATCCCAAGAAAATGGAGAGTCAAGTAAAGTTAATAGTGGTAGATTTTTTTTTGATACACAGACAAAAAAGCTAACTAAACACACCTGAACTGATCGCTTTCCGTCACAATATCCTGCTTTACAAGGTATTAAATCTATTTAACATATGTTTAAAATCAAAATACCACTCATGTGTAAGGAAAGAAATGTCCATACCTTAACAAGGCGATCTAAAAGATGAGCAGCACTTTGGACATTGGCATCAGAATCTGCTGAGAGTTTGCATAAGGCATCAAAAATCTTATTGAAGAAAATAATGAAATCGCCTCGCACAACCTGTAGCAAACCAGAAAAGAAGGCGATGGTGCATCAATACCAAAATCAAATAGAACACTGAACCGAAACACATGTATATTATTACTACAGTATTTACCTTTGCAATATTATAGAGAGCTTCACATGCATAGTACCGAACTCGGCTATCTTGATCAGAAAAGGAATTAATCACAGGTGGCACTATTTGCTTCACATGTCATGAATCAAAAAGAACAATCAGAAAACATCCTATAAGCCAAAAAAGAAACTACACTAATACTATAGATGGATTTATACATCGATAAGATTACACTAAACATAACTTTTCAAATCCTACTATGAGCAGATTAACTATGTGTTATAGTGCAAACCATTGAATAAATTCACAGTTATACCTCAAGATATTGAGCAGCTTCTGTAGACAAACCAACTGTTACTGCAGCTAAGCCAATTAGACCACCCTATACAACAAAAAGCAGCCAGAATATGGTTCAATGATAAAAGCCCTATTCTCAAAATTCTGGGATCTAAGTAAACGCAAATGCTAAGAAATAATCTCAAAATTGGAGACCTTTCGATGATTAGCTTGAGGGGATTTGGCAAATTCCTTAATCAACATCTCAATGACTTTCGAGATCTTGTCATGATCACCCGAAGAAGTTAGATTCTTCACAATATTCTCAAGCTACAACAAAATTATATAAAAAAAAAAAAAACCGATAATCTCAGAAACTAGAAAAACCCTAAGACGCAACAAAAGAAAGAGAGAAGAGAGAAGAAAATTGAAACCTCAAGCGCAGCATTTTTGCGCTTCTCATAGAGTTTATCGGAGAGATTGCGATGAACGGCGGCCGGAATCGCAGAAAGAGCGTCTGACATGTCTGTCAGATGAAATCCACCAAAAAGCAAAACTTCTCTCGGAACCAAAATCGCGATCGGATGAGAGAAGAAGGAGGCGGAGGATTATTCAACGTCAAAGACGAAAACAATCAGATCTGGTCAAAAACGACGAACTCATCTGTGGCTACCAGTTACTCGGTTTCTCCAATTCGATTTCTGCATAAACATATTTCTGATTTTTTTTTTTTTTTTTCCTAAGTGGATTTTTTTTTTTTGGTAAAAATGAACACACATCTGATGTCTTTTAAAAAAAAACTAATAAAGAAGACAAGTGAAAAGTGCGTGATCACTTTAGTAAATGACAAACTCACCCTTAGTATAGTTCTAGATAACCGGGGGTAATATCGGTATTTACCTAGAGTTGAATTTTTCATAATTTTAGGTTCTTTGGTTATATTAAATTTTTCTATTTAAAACATTCGATTATTTCCAACTACAATTTTTTTAAATAAAAAAATATTTTTTTAATTAGATTTTTTTTTTGTATTTGATGTGAATAATAGAAATAAAAAATAATCATGTTTTAGTTGTAAAGTTTGCAAGTAAATAAAATATGTGTACTATTTTCATATAGTTAATTTTATTAGTATTTTTCAAAATATATAAATTATCTTAGACTATATTTTTTTAATTTCTTTTGTATATATGATGTTTAGTTGTAGCGTTAGCCCGTGAATCAAATACGGACATTATTTCCAATACAATTAGATATTGTAATTTGTGTGTTTAAAAACAATTAATGTTATTTCTCATCATGTTTTGTATATGAAGTTATAGATAAGATGAATAACGATAATCATATTTTAGTTGTAAGTTGTAACACACTCCTGCAAAACAAATATGAATATTTTCCCAATACAATTACCTATAGTAAAATTTTTTTTAAAAAAAACAATGAACATAATCCCAACCATGCTTTCTTTACTTTTGTATGTGGTGTTGATAAGACAAATAAACACTAGTCATGTTTTATTATGTTTTATTTGTAACGTACGTCGATGAGTTATATACAGATTTTATTTCCAATATCATTAGATACATTAATTAAATTTAATGTTCCACATTTAATATAGTTTTCACCATGTTTTCTTTGTTTACATATGTGGTGTGGATAAGATGAATAAACGATGATTATGTTTTATTTGTAACGTTCGTCGATGAGTTAAATATGGTATTTATTTACAAAACAATTGTAAAATTTCGTTTTTAAAATATTTTATATTATCTCCAATCTTACTAATTTTTTACTTACCAAAAAGAAACCTTACTTATTTTTTAATGTGGTGTGGATAAAATGAAAAAAGTATAATTATGTTATTTTTGTAACTCTCTTCATTGAGTCAAAATTTCTTATCTATGGCCATGATATCTTTGTAACTCTTCTCATTGAGTCAAAAGTTCCTTATCTCTGGCCATGTTTTCTTCTCTGACCATCTTATTAATTTATTGGTTTGTTTTATTTTTTACATTGATATCAACTTGGGACCGGAAGAATTTATTAATTTAGCGAGTATTAATTTATAGAAGTTTTACTATAAATAGGGTGAATATAATCATGTTTTATTTGTAACTCTTGTGAGTGAGTCAAAGATGGACTTTATTTCCAATATTGTTAGGTTTAGAAAGCTTTCATTCTTAAAACATTTGATATTATCTTTGACCATATATTTTTCTTTTAATGTTTGTATGTGTTGTGGATAATATAGCTGAAAATAAGGGATTATTGTCCAAAATGCCATTTTCGCATAACCATTTTTCAAAAATGTTATTTTTCCAATAATTTTCAAATTTGCCATTTTTGTCACTTGTAAAAACTAAAAATTTCAGAATTTTTTTTTCATAAACACACATATTTCGTAACGAAAACTATATCCTAAAAATTTTGAAATCTAATAAACCCAAACATCATTTATAAATTTATGTTTTTGTATATAAGAAAATGACATTTTTGAAAGCCAAAACTTAAAAACACCCCCCAAATAAGTCCCTTATTAGTAATTGATTTTTTTCCAATAATTAGTTATAGTAAAACTTTTTCTAAAAAAATTAATACTATATCCACTCTATTTATTTACTTTTTTACTAGATTTTAACCCGCGGTACACCGCGGGATAATTTAATTTTAAAGTTAGTATAAAAATATTTTGTAAATTGTATCTCCTTATAACATATTTATTTATATTATAGTTCACAATTGTTATTAAGTAACGGTATACCACGAGTCTACGAGATAATTATTAATAAACGAAGGATTTAATCCATATTAAAGCGGTATATAAATATTGATTCAAATTCGTCCGCCATATAAATTCTTTCCGAAATGTAACATGTTCCGTAATTTCTTAACCCGTCCCGTGATTTGTTTTTATTTTAAAATTTAATGATTATTTATTATATATAAAAGTTTATAAATCATATCATCCTCTAAGACCACGAGACATTATACCACGGGACAATTTTTGGTTTTATACAATCTTTTCTAAATGAGACTGATTTAATATGTCTAATATTTGTGGTATTAAAAAAAAAGGATTTAATCCGTATTGAGGCGGCGGATTAATGATATTTTAATATTTTTATTATTGTTGATTCAAAAACCCGTCCCGCCAAACCCATCCGGCAAAAAAACTCATTTATTTTATTAATGTTCTTATTTATTATATGATTCTGAATCATTATCTAAATATTTTAATCGATGTAGAACGTTGAACACACATTTTCATCAATTGGATAATATATGTCCGTTTTTAAAATTTCGAATCACAGTATATGCAAAAAAAAATTGATTTTTTTTTACTTTATGTATTATATGATTATTCAAAACAGTTAAAAACAAATCAAACAAAGATGATAGGAGAATCATAATTATAAATCTTAATCAAATCTTCTAAATATCTAAATTATTAAATATGGAATATCCGGTGTATGAGTTGGGTTAAATATAATCCGACCCAACAAATTTTTTGTGAAGGTATTTTAAAAACGGATCGGGTATCCGATATACCCGGAAGCATTTTTACCTATCCGTCACCAAAGTGTTGCAAATACTAGTATAGACTAGATGTTAACCCGCGGTACACCGCGGGCATATATATTATTTGAAATTTTTTGTTGAATTATTAATTTCAATATTTTAGTTGATATCATGTATTTTTTCTATTAATTTAAATGTATATATTGATATAGAGAGTTGTATATATCTATAAATGGTAGAATAAGTCAATTTCAATATCATTTCTTAATAATAATATTTTAAATTTGTATTAATGTTTACTCAAACCCGTTCCGCAAAACCCGTCCCGTGTTATTTTAAATTTTTGTATATGTTTAGATATTCATTATATTTAAAACATTTTAAGAGTTTAAAATTAACTATATTCGACAAAATTTAAACAGTTTAACTAAAAACCCGACGTAAACCCTATACAAACTTTTAAATGTGGATGCTTGATAAGTTAAATTTTCTGTTCATTCGGATTTGGATTGTAAATTAATTGTGGTTATGAAAAATAAACAAAAACTATAAATATTAAGAATATATTTAAACTATAAAAAATTTTAAAATAACACGGGACGTGTATTATAGTTGGATGAGATTATATGGTGGGACGGGTAAGAATCGTTATTAATAAAATTTAAAATATTATTAACCTGACATTTCTAATTTTGTTAAATCTTTATATTTATTTTGTTAACACCATAAATATTAGACATATTGAATTAAACTGGTCAAAATTAAGATTATATGAAACAAAATTATCTCCTAGTATATTGCGGGTTAAATCTTAGTACTAACATAAATGTGGGAAAAAAAAAAAACCAGGTTTGTGAAAGGAAGAAGCTTAATTAGTCGGTTTAATCTCTTGGAATGCCTTCCATTTCGGTTATTGTATAATTGGTATTGGTACGACAAAATCTGGTAATTGTAAGGCATTTTGCCATTTCTAAAAACCTAATCAATCAAACACAAATTATCTTCATCTTTTTCTCTCTGTCGTGTTCATCATTGAATCCCAGATTTTCCATTATTCTTCAACAATTGGTGAATTCTAGATCGGATATATCTTACATCCACAGATTTACTGTTTCAAAATTGAATTGAGGATAAAATACAAAGTCAAATTATCGAATTATCAATCTCTGATATTTTTGCTGACTTTGAAAATGAAAGCTAAGGGAAAGAAAGGAGAAAAACCCAACCCTAACGAAATTCGCATCATTTTTGTTTTCATTTGCAGTTGCGAATTTTGGGATTGGCTGAAGCAATTCCGATTGCACAACAATGGCTTCTCGTATCATCATCAATCATTCCAAAAAGGTTTCTCTTTCTCATATTTTTTTTTCATTTTTCTATGGGTTTACTTCTGTTTTTGATCTTTTAAGTTCTTTGATCTGGTGAAACTGAGTTTATGCATTTGTTTTTAAGTGTTTTGCTCTATCAGTAAAAAAAAATTTCTGAACTGAGTTTCGTTTATACCACGGGACAATTTTTGTTCTATGGGTGTGATCTCTGCTGTGTCAGTTAAATTAACCATTTAACCATTTAGAACAATATTCCACGAGACATTATACCACGGGACAATTTTTGGTTTTATACAATCTTTTCTAAATGAGACTGATTTAATATGTCTAATATTTGTGGTATTAAAAAAAAAGGATTTAATCCGTATTGAGGCGGCGGATTAATGATATTTTAATATTTTTATTATTGTTGATTCAAAAACCCGTCCCGCCAAACCCATCCGGCAAAAAAACTCATTTATTTTATTAATGTTCTTATTTATTATATGATTCTGAATCATTATCTAAATATTTTAATCGATGTAGAACGTTGAACACACATTTTCATCAATTGGATAATATATGTCCGTTTTTAAAATTTCGAATCACAGTATATGCAAAAAAAAAATTGATTTTTTTTTACTTTATGTATTATATGATTATTCAAAACAGTTAAAAACAAATCAAACAAAGATGATAGGAGAATCATAATTATAAATCTTAATCAAATCTTCTAAATATCTAAATTATTAAATATGGAATATCCGGTGTATGAGTTGGGTTAAATATAATCCGACCCAACAAATTTTTTGTGAAGGTATTTTAAAAACGGATCGGGTATCCGATATACCCGGAAGCATTTTTACCTATCCGTCACCAAAATGTTGCAAAAATACTAGTATAGATGGTTTTTTTTTTTTTGACGTCTAGATTTATTATTTATTGCAAATTATGAGAACTGTTACATAGACGATTCTACAATGGACAATTCCTTCCGACCCTTATTAGATCCACGACAGACGACACTTCTTTCTCCATGCTCTTGACGGACACCTTCAATGATCCACGACCTAACGACACTTCTCTCTCTGCGTAGAATCCTGGCGAACGGACACCTTCAATGATCCACGACCTAACGACACTTCTCTCTCTGCGTAGAATCCTGGCGAACGGCTATAATTGTACTTCGCTGGAGATCTCCTGCACACTTGCCTCATTTAATCTGCAAATTTATTAATAAATCGCAATATCTGGGACTCGAACCCCAGACCTCTTGGTGTAGAAGCATTAATTAACCCTTGGTCAACCAATGGGCCAAGGGGGCTTCCACTAGTATAGATGGTTATGTATATAAAATAAATAAAGTATAATCATATTGTTTTATTGTAATTCTCGTCGGTGAGTCAAAAGATGAATTTTATTTGCAATACAGTTTACGTATAAAACGGTGAAAAATAATCATATAAAAATGAAAACATTAATACTAAAAATAGTTTTGGTAACGCATAAAGATTTTTTTCCGTTTACTCCAATGTTACTTTTTTTGTTTTTTTTTGTTTCCTGACCATATTTACACAGAGCCAATCAGAGCCTTGTTTCATCGTCTTGTCGAGGAGGCGATAATATTAGATCTGCTCACCATTTCTCCGCCATCGCCGAAGATGGGAGACAACAACCCTAACCGACCAGAAGCCGAACGTCTTCTCGGAATCGCAGAGAAGCTTCTGGAGTCACGAGATCTCAACGGTTCAAAAGAGTTTGCAATCTTAGCTCAAGAAACAGAGCCACTCCTCGAAGGCACCGATCAAATCCTCGCCGTCGTCGATGTCCTCCTCTCATCTTCCTCAGAGAATCGCATCAAAAACAAACCAAACTGGTACAAAATCCTTCAGATCGAAGATCCAAATGAATCATCAACAGACAACGATCTAATCAAGAAACAATACCGTCGTCTGGCTCTTCTTCTCCACCCAGACAAAAACCGCTTCCCTTTCGCCGATCAAGCTTTCAGATTCGTGCTTGATGCATGGGAAGTTCTATCAACACCTTCAAAGAAATCTCAATTCGATCGAGATTTGAATCTCATCTTCACAAAAGTAGATCTCAATACTCAAAAATCGAAGAAGAAAACAACAACCAATGAGAAGATGGCTACGTTTTGGACGGCGTGTCCGTATTGTTACAGTCTTCATGAGTATCCTAGGGTTTATCAAGAGTATTGTATCAGATGTCAAAACTGTCAAAGAGCGTTTCACGCGGCCATTATTCCTCAATTGCCTCCGTTGGTTCCTGGAAAAGATGAGTATTATTGTTGTTGGGGGTTTTTTCCGATGGGATTTGTTGGTGGTAAAGGAGGAGAAGCCGCCATTGCTAACGGAGTTGATGCTGCCAAATTCCCTAATTGGATGCCTCCGCTTTTCTCATCCGGCGGCGTTGCAGCTCCTCCAAGTGTTAATGGTGGCGGATACGGGGTTGGTCACCCGTCTTCTTCGCATGGTGTTCAGGTTAGCTTTGATGGATGGTCAGGTGGTGCAGCGAAGAGAGACAACGTTGGAGTTAATTTAGATGGAACGCCGAAGAAGAGAGGAAGAGGAAGGCCGAAGAAGAATCCGGTTTAGTGATCTCCGGTGATGGTGAAATGTGGAAGAAAAATTTTTAAGGCAAGTTTTTTTTTTTCAAGGCAAGGAAGATTAGTGTTTGTTGTCTTAGTGTAATCTTTTTCTTTTTCTTATGTAGTTTGTTAATTTAACTTGTTCTAATTTTATTATGCATTTCTTTTTATTCTTGCCATTTTTCTCTGTGACTTTGTTGTTATTACCGGTTGTTTTATCTTCATATGCCTCTCTTATTCGAAATCTTTGTACCATAATTTGCTTTGAAACATTTACATTGACTAGTAGAGTAAAAACAATCTATTTAAATCTATTTTTTCCTCATTATAATTTGGCAATCTCTCTCTTTTCCACTTCACTTGTTGGATGGATTAACACTTATATCTCTGTAAACAAAATTGAGGAAATCAAAGATTGGAGAGGAAAATACTACCTCCACTCCAACACTTCATTACAAGTAAAGAGCGTCAAAGATACAACTACTAAAGGCAACAACTACAAAGTTTAGTTCTTCTTATAAAAAAGTAATGATCAAAAGTAATAAAGTATCTTCTTTTACGAGTCTATAAGTGAAAGCAAATGACTTTTCATGAGACTTCTACTTCCTGACAATATTGAGATCAATGTGTACATACGCAAGCGAAGCCACAAATACTAAGAAGAAAGCCGATACAAGCATGAATGGTTCCGCAAGCATGTATATTGGTTTGAATGTATAGTACACCTGTGAAAACGTCACACATGTTAAGCACTATTATAGCGTTTTTCCCAGAAACCGTTTGTAACTTATGGAACAAAATGAGCCTATTGCTAATAACACTAATACACCGAGGTTTTTTTAGGGTTCTTCTAATACTACTACACATAAGAAAAATAAAGAATTTGGCTCATCATGGTGATATATTAAAGTCTGTGGAAAAGCTAGCTAGCTGTAAGTGTTAAGGCATTTTTTACCTGGAAGGGTACGTTGTGAGTGGGAACTACATTATCTTTTTGCAACACAACCACGGTTCTTCCCACAATGTCAAGGTATGAGTATTTGACCTGAGACAAGACCATTATAGATACATGTTGTGTAATAACTATAGTTTGAAAATGCAATTCATGTATATGTGTGGCTGATGAAGTACCTCTAACTCTTGATTTACTGTAAAGGGCAAAACAGCAGAAGGGTCCTTTGATCCTTCAGGAAGCACAACCTGAAATGATACTTCCTATGTTAAGTTGCACTCTACTAACAACTGAGAGAAATAACTACTCGTAGAAAATGCTTAACCCACTTTGAGAGTCAACTTGTTCACTATAGTTTCGACAAGCGGGCACCCAAAGGTAAAGTTCAAGTAACGTCGGCCATCAGATGCTTCAAAGAGATAGTCTTCCAATGGAACTCTATAGCCGATGACAAAAGTTGCACTCCACCCTCCAAATAATGGGTACCGCGGTTCAAATTCAAGTTCTGACTGCAAAGACCAACTTTTTTTTTATAAGAATCCAGAGAGTTAAAGAGAATAACAAATCACATCACGTTTTTGAGGTATACCCCCCTAAGCAACAGATTGTTGTACAATTAGAGAATTGGCAGAGTTTCTCAGGGCACAAAATCACTGCCTAAATGGCCACAGATCAAGAGAAGAGAGCCAACCATACCTTTCTAAAGCCTGTACGCAAATGTGAAGTTGAGATGTTTCCTATGTTATCCCTGTAGTAGACAGAGTTCACTCTGGGAGGCAGTACTGCAAGTAGCGCATTGAAAGAAGATGCACCACTGACGGACCGTTTAGATTGATAATCAACCCTGCCAAAATTGAGATTTCAGAAAAACATTTCAGCAGAACAGCATACATATATTAACAACATCTCCATTGAGCTCTCTCACCAGTAACGCAGATAGCTAATTAAAAAGACATTTTTACTTCAATAACATAGAAAAGTTGTCTTCAGTAATGGAAAATGGCACCTTAACCATTAACTCAAAACACAAAAACAGAAATTCTGCAACATCTAATTCCTAGAGATAAATTTCCAGATGTCACCTCATACATAATAAAAGTCATTAGTTACATACCTCGAGAAAACACCCTTATGACGCGCTCCCCCATGAGTCAACCTATAATTTTCCGTAATCTGAAGGCTACCCCAGTGTGAAATCTCAATTTCACGCACAAGCTCCTCAACAACGGCAAACGGACTGTTATTCTCGAAGTGAATGATGACAGGTGTGTAAGAGTATGAAGCACGATTCTCATATGGTCCATATTTTATCTCTTTGCCAGCCCGGTTAGCAGGTTCAATGCTAGTGAACGACTCCACTCTAGTAGTAGGAGTCTTAACAAAAGTTGTCTGTTGCTTAATATGATATGGTGACAATATCACTGCACTATCATGGTAGTAAACCAACTGAGATTCTGACTGGGTTATCTCCACTGGGAAAGGTTCCAACGAATGAGTCAATATGTAAAGCACCTCAAGTGAAACAGTTTCACCCGGACCTAAGGGGCTAATAAACTTAACACGGTAGTATCCAGTGTCATTTGGTGCATCAGATTGTTCAGTTGGTTTTACATCTAGTGGCAAATAGGTTTTCTTTTTCTTCTTGCCAGTAATTGCCAGGGCTTGTACCATAGCCAAATTCTTGATCTGGGTAGGTGGGAAAGCAAGAAGCATTTCTGCAGCAGGATCTTTACCAATATTTTCAACCTAAAGAAAGAAATCCAGAAAAGAAAATGTCACCTCCTAATAGAAAAACTTAAGGATGATGAAGAAGAAAAGTAATAATATCAAGTGAACTGTCACAACGAATCAAAGCCACTAAAGTTCCAACCTTTTCAACAAGTTTCACTACAATAAACTAAATTTGACTGAAAGAAAAGAAGCCGTAGTTTCATATAACATTAAACCACTAAAAGCTTTAATTTTTCAGTTCTAAGTTCCAACCTTCCAGTGTATATTCAATAGGAATAACTACTAAAAGCATTTGCTTAGAAATACCTTGAGAGTCAAGAAGGCCTTCACGATATGTGAGCTTAAATCAATCTGTAGACGAAAACAAACACAAAGGAGGAGCATTTCAGTTTCAGGCAATAAGATTCTGCAAACAGCTTCTCTATCATCAAACTTTTGGATTACTAAACTTAAAAAGTATAACTGGTGAAAAGTCACACCCAAAGAGTCACATCACCTATCAACGTACATTACATATGAAGCCTATCAATGATCAACAGCGAAGTGACCAATCACACAGTAATTCTACAAACCAATCATAGATCGGAGAGACAGCAAATCCCAACGAAAACTTCATTAACTTGAATTACGGATCCATTAAGGAAAGCAGAAATTTATGAATTTGTTACAGAAGATACATCGGAGAATCTTACCCTTCGCTCGGCATTTACGATCTGGAGATCCTGAGCTGAGGAAAATGCAGAAATAGATAAGAATACAGCTACGACGACGGAGAAGATCCAGATACGAGCAGCCATTTTCGTCACTGCAATAAGAACAAAACTCAAATCAACGAAAGAGCTCAGAGGATTTGCAAGATCAGAAAAAAGTTACTGACCGATGAGGAAAGATACAGCGAGAGAGATCGTGGATCGTACAGATAGATACCGACGGCGGAAGGAAGAACGTCGGCCGGCGAAGTGAGAATGCTCCGGTCAACTACAAAAGTCTCAGTCTCTCTCACTTCTCTCGTGATTTAGGGATTAGCTTTACGAGCTTTTTTCTTCCTCAAAACCAAAACGACATGAGACGTTGTCGTTTTTTAACTTTTAAAACTAATGGGCCGTGAGAATAACTGTTATTGGGCTTCATACCACAAAACATCAACAGTTGGATTTCAGACACGTGTATGACTTAGGAACGGTTCCGATGTCACTGAACACTTTGCCGCCATTCAAATTCGTTTGTCGACCTAACTCTCTTCAAAATTTTCTCCGGTCACTTGAATTCGTGTTCTGATTCGAACGAATACGATAATTTTGTCCATTGAAGACTCAAAAAAGTTGCTCAATTTTGTGTTTTAGTTTCTTCACTAACATCTCAGCCATGGCGATCGATTGTCTCGTACTCGGTAACAATTTTTTCTTTTTCTTCTTCTTTCTTAGCTTCTTCAAAGTTTCGTGTTCTTATTTTTGCGTTGTTTCCAGGTGCTGGACAAGAGATTGGAAAGAGCTGCGTAGTAGTGACGATTAATGGTAAAAGGATAATGTTCGATTGTGGGATGCATATGGGCTGCGATGATCACAATCGTTACCCAGATTTTTCTCTCGTCTCTAAATCCGGTGATTTTGATAACGCGATCTCTTGTATCATCATCACTCACTTGTATTGATTCTTCACGCCCAGAATCTGTCCCCTCAAGTCATTTTTAAAAAGTTTTTGTGGGATCGTATGGGTTCTAATTGTGTGTGTTTTCGAGTGTCAATAGCCATATGGATCATGTTGGAGCGCTTCCTTACTTCACGGAAGTTTGTGGGTACAATGGCCCGATTTATATGTCGGTGAGTTATATCGTCCTCAAGGTGTTCGATGAAATGTTTGAGTGACTTGTTTTTGTAAGGTACATGCTGTTTACTTTGATTTGTCTCTTTTGTAGTATCCCACAAAGGCTTTGTCTCCATTAATGCTTGAGGACTACCGAAGAGTGATGGTTGATAGAAGAGGTGAGGATGAGCTGTTCACCACTGCCCATATCGCAAACTGCATGAAGAAAGGTACTTGAATATTGGATTTAGTTCATTTGAGGTCTTTGTGCACGAACTTGTTTCATCTGGTTGATGAATGTGTGACTTGCTTCGTAAATTCACATTCAGTGTCCATATCTTGGCTTCCTTTTGTTTTTTTTTATGTAGTAATTGCAATAGATTTGAAGCAAACAATTCAGGTTGACGAAGATCTTCAAATCCGTGCCTATTACGCAGGGCATGTAAGACATTCGTTCTGGTTTTAGAGAACTTCTTTGGACTTCCTTCTAAGTTTGTTATATTCTGAGTTTCTATATTTCTTAAAGCTTCTTTTGTAATGATCATAAGGTCCTTGGAGCAGTGATGGTTTATGCAAAGGTGGGAGATGCAGCGATTGTGTACACTGGAGATTACAACATGACGACAGATAGACATCTAGGAGCAGCTAAAATTGACAGACTCCAGTTGGATCTTCTCATATCAGAGTATGGAAAACAAATACAAACTTGTTCGCTGGTATTTTTCAACAAACTTAGAAAGAACAAGTATATCTGATGTATGTTTGACTATGTGTGTCAGGTCCACATATGCAACTACCATTCGTGGCTCAAAATATCCCCGGGAGAGAGAGTTTCTTCAAGCTGTATGTCTACTTGTAGCTATTGACACATGGTTTCTAAATTTGTTCTTAAATGGTTTTTGATTATAATTGCGGCATCACTTTTGGCTTGTTCCTGATCAATATACCCCCTTTAGGAAAGGCTTAAGTTTTCATTTGGTAATTTTCTGATATCTCAGAAAACTCTTCCAGGTTCATAAATGTGTTGCTGGCGGAGGGAAGGCGCTGATTCCTTCATTTGCTCTTGGAAGGGCTCAGGTCTGTCTTTTTACAGAATATGCTCCCTGTGATAGCTTTGAAACAAGTCAGTTACTTAAACTTGTCTGTGCTTCTCTTATGTCTCATTGACAATTGCGTTTCCTTGTTCAGGAACTCTGCATGCTGCTCGATGATTACTGGGAGCGCATGAATATAAAGGTTCCGATATACTTCTCATCAGGTCTGGCAAATCACCCCCAATCCTCATTTGAAAAGAATTCTGCAGATCTTTATCTTCTGAAAATTGCTGTTTCTAAAGATCAATTTGTTTTTTTTTTTTTTCAGGTTTGACCATCCAAGCAAATATGTATTACAAAATGCTCATCAGCTGGACAAGCCAGAATGTTAAAGAGAAGCACAATACACATAACCCATTTGACTTTAAGAATGGTATGCTGACTAACATTTGCAGATAACTTTAGAACGTTGAAGATGAATTTTATTCAAATGGAACCGAGACTTTGCAGTGCTTGAAAAATAAGGATAAAAACTTTGTAAACTAGTGGTTCTATACTTGATCAGTACTACTATCTTAGTTCTTATCAACTACCTTAGTTCTGCAACTCTGCTTGATTTCTAACTCCTACCTTCTCATTCTGCAGTTAAAGATTTTGATCGGTCTCTTATACATGCTCCTGGGCCATGTGTTCTCTTTGCCACACCCGGTATGCTTTGTGCTGGCTTCTCACTTGAAGTGTTCAAGCATTGGGCTCCATCTCCCCTGAATCTTGTTGCCTTGCCCGGGTACTATACCTATTGTGTTCCCCCTTTATTAGCAATTCATTTTTTTCCTAGCATAGCATCTAACACAAAATTGTATCTCGTTTCATCCCCTTTATGGATCCGTTTTTGACAGATACTCTGTGGCTGGAACAGTTGGGCACAAACTGATGTCTGGTAAACCCACGACGGTTGATCTCTACAATGGCACCAAGGTCGATGTCCGTTGCAAGGTTTGTATACTCTTTCTTCTGATTCTCACAAAAGTTGAGTGAACTTTACAAGTAAACAGCGATGCATCCAATTCAGACTAATATGTCTTGTTGATTCTGTTGTTATCAGATACATCAAGTGGCATTCAGTCCTCACACAGATGCAAAAGGAATAATGGATCTCACAAAGTTCCTTTCCCCAAAGAACGTTGTACTCGTGCACGGCGAAAAACCCAGCATGATGATTCTTAAGGATAAGATAACCTCAGAGCTTGACATCCCCTGTTTCGTCCCTGCCAATGGCGAAACAGTTTCAGTAGCTTCAACCACTTATATAAAAGCAAACGCTTCTGATATGTTCCTTAAAAGCTGCTCCAGCCCGAATTTCAAATTCTCAAACTCTACTCAGCTCCGTGTTACAGACCAGAGAACAGCAGACGGCGTTTTGGTCATAGAGAAGAGCAAAAAGGCAAAGATAGTTCACCAAGATGAAGTCTCTGAGGTGTTACATGAGAAAAACCATGTGGTCTCTTTGGCTTATTGTTGTCCTGTGAAAGTCAAGGGAGAATCAGATAATGATGCTGATCTGATCAAACAATTGTCTGAAAAGATCTTGAAGACAGTGTCTGGTGCTCAGATCCATGAATCTGAAAACTGTTTGCAGATTGGATCTTTCAAGGGAACTTTGTGTCTGAAAGACAAGTGTGTGCATAGAAGAGATATAAGTAGTAGTAGTGAAGCTGTCGTGTTCTTTTGTTGCAACTGGTCTGCTGCTGATTTAGAACTTGGTTGGGAAGTCATCAATGTAATGAAACAAAACATATGAAATCGAAGTTGTGGTAACTCTCTGGATCACACAAGTTTTGTCGTTATGTTGTCGGCGTTCTAATATTTATGTAAACTTTTTTTTATCTTAGTAATAAATTTAGACCATTTTTTAGCGCCAATTTGTAGCTAATTAGTAAATTACCCGAAGGTCAAAGGTGATTATTATAGTAATACCAGTGTTCTAAAAAGCGGTCTAGGCGGTCGCCTAGGCCCCGACTAGGCGCTAGGCTCTCATGCGACGCCTAGATAACCGCCTTGACCGTCTAAAATTACATAGATCTTGTTTAATGTATTTTTTCAATTTCAATTAGAGTTTTATTTATATATATATATATATAGTTATAAATATTCATATATTGTTTAATATATAAAATCAATTAAATGTTTTATCTAGTTTTTGTTTATAATTTCATAATTTTTTGTTTTATTAGATATTTTATATAAATTTTATATATGATATTATATTTATTATGTTTTATGTTATAAACGTCTAAACCGCCTAAAAAATCGCCTAGGCTTCGATTAGGCGTTCTAGGCGCTAGGCATTGGGTCACCGCCCGCTTAGCGCCTAGCGCTTTCTTGAACACTGAGTAATACTGACTCTGTCTAAATTATCAATGTTAATTAAGAATTAATCTCGTTTAGTTAAATACTTAAATCCTAAATTATTTAATTAAAACAATTTTTAAAAACTGTCCGCCATGGCTTAGCGTTTTCTAGAGGAGAGAGGGAAAAAGAAGAATCTCAATTGTTCTCTTCGTTAGTTCCATAGAAGAAGAAACTGATGTCTTCTTCAGATTCCACGGCGGCGCGTGATCAACATGCGCCGCTACTCCGTCCACGTCACGACGGATCTTCTTCTTCTTCTTCTTCTTCATCATCAGCCAGACCTACAGCTCTCGCCGTTCTATTAGGACGGATCACCGGTCACCGTGCACCGTCGATGCTGGTTAGAGAAACGGCGGCGCGTGCTCTTGAGGAGAGACGGATCGATTGGGGTTACTCGAAGCCTGTAGTTGCTGCTGATATACTATGGAACGCTGCTTTAGTGCTTGCGTCGGCGGTTATGCTTGTCGGTACCGTTGAAGAAAGACCTAATGAACCAATTAGGGTTTGGATCTGTGGGTATGGGTTACAGTGTTTGATCCATGTGGTTTTGGTTTGGTCTGAGTATTGGAGAAGAAACACAACGCGTAGAGCTAGGGATTTGGAGTCTGGTGACCATGAAGATTACAGTGTGTATGATTACGAACAAGACAGTGACAATTCAACAACTTACAGGTTTGATGATTAAATCTCAAATTTTTCATGGTTTTATGATTATGATTATGATTTGATGGATTTTGTAATCAGTTTTGCGAAAAGATGCGAGTCAATAAACACAGTGATATCATTCATATGGTGGATAATTGGATTCTACTGGGTTGTTGAAGGTGGTGATAAGCTTTTAGGAGAAGCTCCTAATCTTTATTGGTAACAGATTTATCATATTGCTCATTCAAAAACAAGAATTGCTTTGTGTGTTTCACAAATCTTACGGGTTTTTTGCAGGTTGTCGGTGATTTTTCTGGCGATTGATGTCTTCTTTGCTATTTTCTGTGTTGTTTTGGCTTGCCTTGTTGGAATAGCTCTCTGCTGCTGTCTTCCTTGCATAATCGCCCTTCTTTATGCCGTTGCAGGAACGGTCTGAAGCCTATCATCGACTTTTGTTGTCTCAAAAGATTACTACTTTAAAGAACTTATAAACGCCTTTTCTTGCGGGTTATACAGGAAGGAGTATCAGAGGCTGAGCTCGGTGTTCTTCCACTGTACAAATTTAAGGCTTTCCATAGCAACGAGAAGAACATTACCGGACCTGGTAAAATGGTTCCTATACCAACAAATGGCTTATGCTTAGCAACTGAAAGAACACTGCTTGCTGAGGATGCGGTAAAAGCCAATCTATCATTACAACAATTTGTTACTTACAAACTCTGCTTTTACGAAGTTTCAAAGGTTTCTGCTTGATTTTTTTTAACAGGACTGTTGCATATGTCTGAGCTCATACGAGGATGGTGCAGAGCTTCATGATCTTCCTTGTAACCACCATTTTCATTCGACCTGTATCGTTAAATGGCTTAAGATGAGAGCAACATGTCCTCTCTGCAAATACAACATCCTTAAAGGAACCACTGATCAATCTTGAAGACTAAACCCAACTAAGTAGAGGGAGTAAGATTCTGCACATATGGAAACAGATTCCATTTCCTCAATTAAAAAGCTTCTGTATATACTTATATCAAAATTATGTATCTTTTGTTAAAAGCATCCATTTTTAAATGTAAAAGATCACACTTTACAAATGCACTTTACTATATTTGCCCATATTTGAGAATACAACAGCTCCTGATGCTCATAGCTCAAATCATGAGTAAGTTCAAGAACAGCTCACTTCATTGTCACATTGTTTGCTGCAATCCGCATCACTTACTGCTCTTGCAAGCCCTCTTGTTTGCATATCGAGAAGCAAATCCGAAGCAGTGGTCATGTTTCCCTCCTTTTCATATGCTCTAATCAATAGATCAAAAACAGCCGAATCAGGACATACTCCGCTTCTCAACATTTCATCGAAAACTTGTCTAGCCTCAACCATCAAACCCTTGCTAGTTAACCCATAAATCAATGTTGTGTACGCAAACAAATCCAGCTCAAGGCCCTCTTGAACCATTTTGGTTTTTAACTTAAACGCATCCACCAAATTCCCTTGCTTACACAAACCAGCTATCCAAGAAGTGTACATGAACTTATCTGGAACAAGTCCAGCCTCTGAAATTTTGCTAAACAATCTCTCAACTTCTATAAAGTCTTCTTCTTTGCACAAAGCATCAATAAGCACGGTGTACATAACATCATTAGCTTTCTCTGTACAGAAATAAGATATAGCTTCATGTAGTTGTCCATTCTTCGCAATCCCATCGATCATAGTCGAAAGAGCTACAACATCTGGCTCAAAGCCTCTCTCAATTAATTTGTGGTACATGTTAACTGCAGCCTTCATGCGCCCGGATTTAAAATATGCATTCATCATTGTAGTAAAAATCATCATGTCAGGAACTAAATCACCTTTCTCCATATCTTCTACAATCTCTGTTGCCTCCTTTAGTTTACCAATACCGCAAAGGCCTGATATGATTACGCCGTAAGCTGTTATATCAAGTCTCATCCCTTGATTGAGCATTTTGGCCAGAAACTTCATGGCATTATCAGAATCTCCTCTCTGAAAAAACCCATTGATAATTGTTGTGTATACAAGAGAATTTGGCTCAACTCTATCCTCGAGCATCCGCAAATACATTCCCCCAGCTCTCTGCATTTCCCCTTTCTTGCAGAAACCATCTATCAAAGCAGTATAAGTGACAACATTCAAAGACATCCGAACGCGCCTCATTTCCTCGTATAACGAAACCACAACCTCCAAGTCCCCGGCTTTACAGTACCCATCAATCAAACAAGTGAAAGTAACCACATTTGGAAATAAAGCATCTCTCTTCATACAGTTAAAACTCTTCAACGCCAACTTCAACTCCCCGGATTTGCAGAACATGTCGATCCAAGTACTATAAGTAACAACATTCGGCGAACAACACTTCAACATAACACCCATATACACAAAAACCTCATCTAACATCTTCATCTTGCTAAACCCATTAAACAAAGTATTAAAACTAACTATGTCAGGCTTGCAGGTAAACCCATAAGAGGCTCTTAAACTCTCTAAAACCAAACAAGCACTTCTAATATCGCCATTTCTACAATGCCCATCAATGAGAGAGTTATAAGATATAACATCTGGTTCACACCCGAATCTAGGCATCGAGTGGACGATATCTACAGCGAATTTAACTTGCCCTAATTTACAAACAAAAGATACGACCGAATTGAATGAAGAACGATGAGGAGCGTAACCTCTGGAGACTAAGTAAGCTAAGAATTTGAGAGAGAGAGCGCCGCAATTGGAATTGATTAGCTGATGAATATGCTTGTTACAAGTGACTGGGTCTGGGAGATTCGAGGATTTTCTCAGCCGAGAGAGAAATTGAAGAGCTTCTTTGACCATTCATGGACATGGGATTCTTCAGACGATTCGAAAGGAAACAAGTTTTTCAAACATCAAACGGGAGAGGCTTAAACCCTAAAAGAAGTAAGAAGCGAAGCGACCATGGTCAAAGCTTAACTCTTTTTCGGCAAGAACTTCTCCAAGCAGATAATCCGATGGGCTGGTGGAAACAGTCAAAGCCCATTCGTTTTTCGTTTTTCTCTTTGTTTTTGTTTATTACTAGGATATGACACCGCGGGTTAATTATTTGATTTTTTTATTTTTATAAATTGATGAATTTATTATGTATAATATTTTTTGTTGTATACCGCGGGTCACATGCGTTGTATCTAAAATAAAAAATTTAAGTTGTATTTGTTTTGTTTAGTGTTTAAGATTGTATAATTGTATTTTGATTTGTTATTTATAGGATTTCACCTGTGGTATATTGTCTCGTATTAATATTGACCCAAACCCGTCCAACCATATAATCTAAAATGAAATTAAACATCATTTTGTTATTTTTTTAATAACACTTTTATTTAAATGTCATATAATTCGAGTGAATTTGAAAGTTGCTTTCAAATAGTTTCCATGTATATTTTTAAATTAGTGTGTGTTTTTGGACCAACCCGTAAAAACAATTTATAATTGTATCTTAAAATACTAATTAGGATTTCACCCGTGATATACTGTCCCATTTTAGATAATTGTAAAAATTAAAGAAAGATCCGAATGACTCAATTTCGGGTCTGAATAAAATAACGACATGATTAAATGCTCAATTTGTTCTTAAAAATGTTAATATAGATTACACACATATTTTTATTCATCGATTGAGTAATATATGTCCGTTTTAAAAAATTTGAATTGTAACATATGCAGAAAAAAAAAAACTAAAATTTACTAACTATTTATATATTTTATAATAATTTAAAATAATATAAATATAAGATCAAATAAAAGTGAAATAAGAATCATATATTTATGTTTAAATTAGGTAGAGAGGTTTTAGGAAATTAGTGCAAATTTGTTATATTAGCATTAAATCATCATATTTGATTTCTTTATCTATAAAAATCGTGGAGAATATACCATAAATAAAGCGTTTAAATATAGTAATTAGTTGAGAAAGTATATATATTTTAGATTTTATTAATTATTTTCGTTTTTTAATTTTGCCAAAATTTAAGGAAAGATCCGATTGAAGATTTCCGGGTCAAAATTAAACAAACTTGACCCGATTTGGGTACCCCAAAAACTGCTGCAAAAATGTATAGTAGATGTTGGGTCGGGTCAAAAGTTGGTTTTGGTCAAATCGGGTCAAGTTTAAATCAAAAACAAGTAATTGCAGTTCAATAAAACATTAAACACTATATAGCTTGCCATAGCTGATCGAGCTGCAAAATCTGAAGCTCAGCTGAAGGTAGGAATCAGAGTTAGGATCCATATAGCTTTAATTAGAAAGCTTATTTCTTGGCATTAATACAAAAGACTAAATTAAACTACAAATCTCTAACAATTTCTTAGATTGTAAATTCATTTCTCTATTAATAATGGCATTACTTTTTTTCTTTCACTAACCAAGATTATGTTTTTATATATTAAAATGTTTATATTATTCGAAACAGTTTTTAACTTGACTTTAAGATTTATCAGGCTCCTATCGAATTTATGATTAAGAAACACATTAAAAAAAAGAGTCAAAAGAGCCTATTATTTTAAAAAGTCAAAGGAAATTTGTTGTAACTTGTACAACTTTTTACACAAAAAGTCTTTGCGATCAGATGAAGAAGAAGAAAAGAGGAGTTGAGGAGTACTCAAACGCCTAAGAATCAAGCAAGCCTTGTCTAAAATCAATTAATCAAAGTACTGACGCCTACGATTTCTTTTTTTTTTGTCTTTATGTTTATGATCGTACACTGAGCCGAGCATGAGAGTGTTGTTTTGAAACATTATAGAACTATAATACAAACCAAAAATATAAATTTTAGTTGACTTTTTTTTAAAAAAAAACAAATAATTTTTCAACTTAAGATGAATTATATTTAACTTTTCTAAATGTTTATTATGTTGGTTTCCTCTATACTGGCGACAGCGAGAGCGTCAGTGGGAGCAGCGACGACGACAGTGGGCGCACAACGACAGAAGGCACAACGACGACAGACGGACGGCGCATCGATGATAGACGGCGCAGTAACACCAGACGGCGCATCGACGACAAATGGCGCTGCGAAGGAACTACATACGTCTAAAATCCTTTGATATAACAACGTTCTAGCCATTAGAGTGACCACACATGAGATGTGGATAGGGGATCAACTTCGGGATTCGGGATATGAACAAGATCTCTTTAGTGAAATCTCGATCAAAAGACTCTCGATTACAAAGAATTTGATTATTATTTCAAGAATAAGTTAGGTTTACTCAAGACTAAGAAAAAAGCTAAGATTTTTTTTTATGAAATTGCGGATGCTTAAGTTATAAATATATATATTTTAAATATGTATTCTAATAAATTGTTTTTTAGAGATTTGATGGCCTTTTTGGTGTGAAAATTTATGAAACCATTGCATTTGGTGATTTTTGTTGCACACAAATTGTTTTTTTATTTTTTTTTATAGGGAACTATTATGATTTTGAACTGTTGTGTGTGGAACAAGAATTAGATCATGAAGTATGTGATCCAATTCTAGTTTACTATTTACATGATGTCAACTTGATTAAATTAAAAATATCAGGAGTTCTTGAGATTATCTTCTAATTAATCTGCAGAAATAAATTTTCTTAGTTGGGATGTGTTCACTCTATCTGATTATACTTGATCACACCAATTAAGTTGAATTTGTAAAACAATTCGTGTTTGTGCTCTTGCTCTGTTTTTCATTTCTGCATTTTATTCAAATCGAAATTTGTTTGAGAACGAATGGTTTGTGAGTTTTGAATGTATGATCCGAAAATTCATCGGTTCGAAACGAAGATGCTTAAATAAACCCTAGAAGGTTAAAGAAGCGACGATGGTTTGGTTAGAAACAACATGGTTTTGATATTGTTCCCTTCCTCTAGTAAATTTTTTGCTAAACAAATATCAAATTAAATTAAAAAAATTATGATTGACCTGCAAAACCTGTATTAAATTGGTTAGGTAACATACGTTGATTGCTTACTTCGTAAAGTGAACACGAATCAGCCTTATTAGTTATTTGATTGTTCTAAATATTAAATTGTTCAAAGTTCAAACCCATGAAAAGTTACAATTAAAAACTGTGTCCCTTACAAAAATTAACAATGTTAACATTCTTTGTTTGTTACATATGTAACGTATGAAGTAAAACTCGTGACTTGCGAACATTCATATATAACTACAAAAATCAAAATCGTGTTGAGATAAATTTGATTTTCGAAAAGAAAAACTCACGAGGACGTGATTTGTAGTGTTTGCATTCGTACATGTGAGGACAGATTGGATGGTTAACAATGAAAATCTAAAAAATGGTCCGATTGATATTTACTTCTCATATCTATATTATTAATAAACACTTGCAAAATATTAAAAATTGCATAAGTAGAAAATAATTGTTTACAACAAAAGAAATGCCCTTTTTCGAATAATATTTTAAAGTTTCACAACTTTAACAATTTATAATATACTTTTGATATTCTTATATATAATTTTATATACTTAATGTTGAAATTCATTAAATAAATTTATTTGTTTATTAGATAGAAATATATATATTGGTGATGTAGTATTACATTCCGCCAAATATATCCAATCAACACAATTGTTAAATAATTTGATTATACGAATTTTTCATTCTACGAGTATTCATAGACACAATTCTCTCAAAGACATAATTCTATTTGCTTTTAAAAAAGGCCATAAAATATTAACGAAAAAAGTAAAAAACTATTATAAAATCTTCTTAAATGAGATTGCTGGAAATTTTTGAACTAATGTGATATACGAAAACATTTTTGTAGGTGGTATATTTTGATAATATCGAGGATTTTTTTTCCACTTATAATAAAAAACATATTATTAAATCATATATATAAAAGTTGGCCAACTCTCTCCATCTTTCCGCCACGTCAACAATGGAGAGAGTGCCATGTGTCACAACATATTACATTTATTATTTTATTTTATTAAATAATGCATTAATTCTTGCTTATATGAAAATTGACATATTTAACTTATTAATTCAGTAAATTCAATTTAATTAGTTACAAAAGTATATCAAACTCATATAAAAATTAATTTATTTAAATTTAGCTGTATAAATTTTAAACTTATGTGTAACATAAAATCAATGGAATTTTAATTAAATGTTAGATTTTATTAACGTATAAAAATAAATAATATGATATTAGAATTTATTTCATGTTTTCATATACTATAATATATATATAGGATTAGTGACAATGAATATAGATGAATCTATAATTTATTTTAATGCAAATATAAGATACTATATCAACACTACTTTTTCGTTTATTTAAAATAATTTTATAGATAACCAAATATATATATATATATATATATTTGTTTTTAAGGTAAGTAATTGTAAATAAGTGTTAAACAATGTAATTAAACATATATTAAAAAAACAAAAAATAGAATGAATTATTTACCCGAGAGTTAGAGGAATACATCAAAATAAATATTAGAAGAAAAAAACACCAAAAGGATTATTTATTAAATTAATTCAATCAATGTAAATTGTTATAACTAACAAATTATGGATGGAAAAGCCCGCACGTTGTGCGGATATTAGCCTAGTCTCTACAATAATTAATTGAGAAGTAGAAACGCACCATATTAGCCTAGTCTCTATATATATAAAAGTTAGAATGATTTGTCCTAAACACCCTTAATGAATTGTTCTTCTCAAAATTTCTCCTTCTTCGTAATTAGGGGTATATAAGTCTAATCATGTGTTGATCTCTATAATAATGTCCTAAACACCCTCAATTCGAAAATTTTTGTTCTTAATTGTTAAGGGTATATAAGTCTAATCGTGTTTTGTGATGATTAGTCTTAATCACCCTTAATTTTTTTTATTTTATAGTGTAATCGTTGGGGATACGGATGTCATAATGTCTCGACTTTAATGATTATGGAATCTTAGCTTAAATTTATTTGTTAATTTTTTGGATAATTCTATAACTTAGCAGTTAAAATTCGTTTTTGTTAGTTTTCTGATTTTGTTTCTAATTAAAAAGTTCAATATATTTGTTAATCTTTTGGATAATTCTATATCTTAGTAGTTAATATTCATTTTTGTTAGTTTTCTGATTTAGTTTCTAATTAAAAAGTTAGATTTCTTAAGATAATGATTGATGTTTGCCCTAATTTTAAAGCTATATATATAGTTATCGGCCAGAGAATTAGGTATTGTTTTTTTCCTGTGTTCATTAGATAGTTTCACCGTTATGTTTTTTTTATATAGCTACTATGATTCTGATGAATCGAATTGTTTGTCATGCATATATTGTTTTCATGGTCCTTTAAAGGTAGTGTGCATGTTTTTTGTTGTTTGTTTTATTTTTTGCATGAATTCGTTGATTTATTGTTTTGCTGATTTTTTACCTTTGCTATGTGTTTCAGATTTGTAGAACGTGGGAGGTTCCATCGACAAAGCTTTCGGACGAAGGTGGTGTTGATGAGAACAGAACGAGGTTTGGAAAGGTATTTCTATAGATTTGGTTTGTATATTTTACATCTATTTACCTATTTAAATGTTTGTGTTTCTTTATGTTCTATTAAATATTTTTATATGCAAATAGTACGTATGGAATATTTTTTACGTAATTGTGTAATTATGGTTTACGTATATTATGGTTTTTTTTATATAGCTTTTTAGTAATTGTGTTTAGCCGTGTTGAGATGATTATTATTCAAATAGTACGTATGTTTGATTGTTTGAATTAAAGAATAATTGAGATATCTAATCGTGTGTTCTATTGTTTTCAGTAAATCTTCATCTTCAACAATGAAAAGGAGGAATAAGGTAATCTTTTACATTAATCGTTTTCTTATAATTCTATTAGTTTGTAGATTATGATGTTATTTGTATTCTGGTTTCTATTGGTCGGTTGTTTTCTTTAATAAAACTAATATCCAAAAAAAATTATGAATTCTGGTTTCTATTGGTCGATTCCTAGGTTACCCGTGAAAGTTGTATGAACAAGTAAGCAAAACACCATCTCGACTGATATGTTTTCGTTGATAATTATATATTTATTTTCTCTCTTTGATCGATATATGTTTCGGCTGTGTGTTCTTTTTAGTATGACCTAATATTTTGTGTTTCCAATCTAATGCCACATATCTAGAAAGAGGAGACAAGTCCATAGAAAAGGGATGGAGAACGACAACACAAAGGAGGTAGACAATTAGGTTTTATATTATATACGACAACACAAAGGAGGTAAACATTGTCATTTTGTTTTATGGTACAAAGTCATCTCAACTCTTTTCTTTGCTCTGTATCTTGCTGCAACACATTTCTAATCTTGCTGGTAACCCAAAGATTGTGCTCCCAGTTCCTGCCTTCAATGTAATCAACGGTGGATCTCATGCAGGAAACAAGCTTGCAATGCAGGAGTTCATAATTCTCCCTGTTGGAGCTTCATCTTTCAAGGAAGCCATGAAAATGGGTGTGTAAGTTTACAACTTGAAGGTAAATCATGAATTGTTTTGGTCTCTGAGATGCTCATACTATGATAATTTATGATTTAAAAATGTATAGTCAAAATAATAGGTCTCTTGTCGTTACTCCTTTATCTGAAAATTTCTTGTCGTGTTAACATGAAAGTTCTCACGTTTCTTGTATGTGACTAATTCATCCTGTTTTTCTTATGTCTATGTTCAGTCTGTGATTAAGTACGGTCAGGATGCAACAAACGTTGGGGATTAAGGTGACTTTGCACCAAACATTCAGGAGAACAAAGAAGGTCTAGAACTGCTTAAGACTGCCATTGAGAAGGCCGGATACACTTGCAAGGTTGTCATTGGAATGGATGTCGCTGCGTCTGAGTTCTACTCATCAGACAAGAAATACGACTTGAACTTCAAAGAAGAGGTAAAGCAATCTCTTTACAAATCATGAACCTCTTTGAGAAGAAATCAAGAACATTGCTCTCAATATCTATCCGCTGCTCTATTTGTGAATTTGCAGAACAACGATGGTTCTCAAAAGATCTCTGGAGATGCTCTCAAGGACTTGTACAAGTCATTTGTTTCAGAGTACCCTAATGTATCCATTGAAGACCCATTTGACCAAGATGACTGGGAGAACTATGTTGAAATGACCGTTGAATGTGGCGAGAAAGTTCAAATCGTCGGTGATGATTTGCTGGTCACCAACCCCAAGGTATGCCATTGTTAATCAATCGTTTCCTCTAGAACTTTATCTCTCTTACTTAACATGCTTATGTCTCTAACACTCTTATATATATGCAGAAAGTTAAGAAGGCAATCAATGAAAGGTCTTGCAATGCTGTTCTATTGAAGGTAACATCCTCACACACAAGATATTCTTGACTGGTATTGGTCAATTTGAAATCCTTTGAAATATTGTTAATAACTCCTTGGTGAATGAGTGAACAGATTAATCAAATTGGATCCGTAACCTAGAGTATCGAGGCAGTTAAGATGTCAAAGAGAGCTGGTTGGGGAGTGATGGCTAGCCACCATAGTGGAGACACTGAGGACACATTCATTGCTGACTTATCTGTCGGTTTGTCAACCGTAAGTCAAAAACCCAACATCATATATCAAGAAATATCCCATTGTATCTTCTCCAAATCATGTCATGATATGGAGTCTCTTGGTAATGTTGTTATATGAACAAGGACAAATCAAGACCGGAGCTCCTTGCAGATCAGAGCGTCTTGCCAAATACAACCAACCAGGTTTAGTAACAAGTTATCTTGGTGTCTTTTTTTCTGATGAACTATCATTAGTAGATATATTCATCATACTGATACCTTTTGTCTTTTTTTTTTTCTGATAAACTATCATTAGTGGATAGATTCATGAAACATGATTACCATTATTAGCACATACTCAGGCTTTTACATGGTCCGAACTATCTTTGATAATTCATTGTTGTGTACTTGTGTGCGTGCATGTAACTTAATTGGTGAATTTTTGATTCCAAGTTCCAATCCAGATCATGATCCAACACCAGGGGTTGGAAAGGTTCGGTTTCAATTCTCGGATACATTGTCTATCAAAAGTATATATAAATGCATACTCTAATGATATGATATATTAATGCATGTGTTTTTATTGTCTTATTTTTGTAAGTACAATAAGTAAACAAAAAAAAAGCAGGGAAAAACAAGAGGTGGTGAGATGAAGACTATCACAACGAAAAGCATCAAGACAAGGTTAAATTCCATTTCCTACTAGAGTGCATGGTCAGAGCTGCAGTCTCTGTGTACTTCGATTGAAATCTTGAATAGCCTTAATTTAAACAATCACTGGATGAAAGAGTTTTTTTCTTGGCAATGCGTATCAAGAACTCAGAATGCACACTGGGTCTTTGGCGAAGTACGAGTATTTGCAAGGTATTTTCAGTTTTAGCAATTACATCCAAGCTCAAACTGCATAAGCTCAGTATTGTCTTAGGGAATTTGACCACGTTGAAATCATGTTTAGAGAACATTTGAGAAACGATCCCTATCGGATGGAAGATATGGATTTGTATTCTTATGTTCTGTATGCAAAAGAAGCATGTGCTGCGCTGAGTTACCTTGCACATAAGGTGGTTTTGACTGATAAGTACAGACCTGAGTCTTGCTGCATCATTAGCAACTACTACAATTTAAAAGGCCAGCATGAGAAAGCAGTTATGTACTTCCGGAGAGCTTTGAAACTGAACAAGTATTTATCGGCGTGGACTCTTATGGGCCATGAATATGTTGAGATGAAGAACACGCATGCTGCCATTGATGCATATCGACGAGCTGTTGATATAAACCCTTGTGATTATCGAGCTTGGTATGGGTTAGGACAAGCATATGAGATGATGGGGATGCCTTTCTATGCACTTTACTATTTTCGCAAATCCATATTCTTTCTTCCAAACGATTCTCGGTTGTGGATAGCCATGGCTAAATGTTATCAAACCGAACAGCTTTACATGCTTGAAGAGGCCATCAAGTGTTACAATTGAGCTGTGAACTGTACTGACACAAAAGGAATATCACTTAATCAAGCTTCACCAGAAGCTTGGACGTAATGAAGAAGCTGCATTTTATTTCGAGAAGGATTTAGAGAGAATGGATGCTGAAGGATTAGAAGGACCAAACAAGTTTGAGGCTTTAATTTTTCTTGCCACACATTTTAAAACTCACAAGAAATTCGCAGAAGCAGAAGTGTATTGCACCCGTCTTCTCGATTATAGTGGACATTGTTCTTTTGCTTTTGCTTATCTCTCTCTTGATTTTTTCTTTGTATTTCTCCTGAATATATATATAGATAAGCGCACAAAAACATGGAAAAAAGGCCAGAAAGACCGAGAGGTATAAAGATGAGATGACCACTACAATGAACATCAACTTTGACAAGGTTGATTTCTATTTTCTATGAAAAAACTTTTTTGTATCTATATTAGTTTTATTTCTATTTTCTATATTAGTTTTATCGTGATGTGTTTTAGTATGTTTTCAAGCGATTGTCCAATCTATGATTACTATTAGAGAAACTGAGACTAAGAGAACAAGGACTTCACAAAAAGAGAGAAAAAAGTTTCCATGGAGAGGTTCAACACAAAAAGGGTATTTAAATTCTAATTTTCTAACCAAATCTATATGAGATCGTTATGTTCTATTAAGTTTGTTCTGCTTTTTGTAATACTCGAAAACATAAATAACAACAAAAAAGCATAAGAAAATGTAGAAATGAAAGAGGGGTCAGACTCAACGAAACTACAACAATAAGAAAAAGCGATGGGATAAATATAATTATGGAAAAAACTTAACACTATTATGGTGAAACAAAGATGGAGAAGAACTAGAACACAAATACGATGCAAGAGAAGAATAGGGGGATGAAGATGTAAGCGAAGAAGAACAAAAAAGTGTATACAAAGTGTCAAAGACACAGAAGATGATGATGGCGAAGATGTGGATGAAACTTCACAAGTTTTAGTTTCATTTATCTTTTCTTATTAAAGTTTATAAAGCAAGTATGTTTTTTTTTGGCTCTATCTTTTCTTAGTTTAGGTATATTAAAATTTGTTTGTCAATATTGATCTTTATAAAAAGTTCCTATTATATTTGAAAACGAATAACAAAAAGAAGAGGAAGTATTTCTAATCGTGATGAAATCATTCTTTGTGTCCAATGGTAAGTTTAAAATTTTGTACGTGACTTTTATAATTTTCTTTTGCGAAGATAATAAAGAATCCGATAACATATTCTTCTTACATTATCATACTAAATTTAATTAAAAAATTCGTCACTAAATTTAATAATTTAAAACGATTTAATTAGCAAATGTATGTTGCTCTTCTTGACAAAAAGGTAAACCTATGAATTATGTGCAATAAACGAAATAGAAAAGTTTTAAGAAACTTTGTCCTCAACGTAAATCTATTGAAATTATACTAAGTTGTTTACAAAATAGTTAAACCATTTTATAGTTATATTACCTTTTAGAAGAATTATGATAATACCAAATATATAAATTTTTTATTTTTATCTAAAAATAGAAGCATTTAATTTTATTTTGATTTATTTTTTTAATTAAAATATCGTTGATTTTGAAAGGAAATAATGATTGGAAATATTTAGTGTTTTAGATTATAGTTATATAAAAATTTTGATTCTTTATTTGTGAAAACGATAATGGTTAAACTTGCCATTTATCTCTATCAAAAAAATATCTAAAACATTTTAAAAGCAATTTTGTACAGAAAAATTATATGTTAAGATTTGAAAACTTTGATTGGGTGCATCATTATGATATTAAAATTTTTGATTTATATAACTAAAATATGAAATTAGGATATACTAATTATAAATTAGAGTAAATAGACATTTTGTTAGACATTTTGTAAATAGACATTCTACAGTCTAATGAAAGAGATCTTGATAAACTTAGAAATCGTTTGCTGATTGATGAGTTTGGATATAACAATGATAACGGAAAAGGAGCAAAATTGACGGATTTCGGCAGGCTCACGAAAAAACTATTGACAAAGGGAGAAATCATTTGATGATGATGAGTTTGGTTATAATCATGATAACCAAAAAAAGAGGAGAAGATTTGACGGTTTTCTGTAGTCTCATGAAAGAGCTTTTAATAAACGTAGAAATCGTTTGCTGATTGAAAAGTTTTGCTATAACCATTATAACGGAAAAATGAGCAAAATTGATAAGTTTCTACAGCATGATGAAAGAGCTCTTGATAAACGTAGAAATAATTTGCTTCTTGATGAGATAGGCTATAACCACGGTAACAAAAAAATGAGCGAAACTAACGGGTTTTTTACAGCCTAATAATAAACGTAGAAATTATTTTCTGATTTATGAGTTTATAACCATAATAAAAAAAACAAGAAGAGCAAAAATGATGGTTTTATGCAGTCTCATGAAAAATCTCTTGATAAACGTAAAAATCATTTGTTGATGATAAGTTTGGCTATAACCAGGATAAAAAAAAGAGAGAGAACAGAATTGACAGTTTTCTCCTGTCTGATGAAAGAGCTCTTGAGAAATATATAAATCATTTGTTAATTGAAGAGTTTATCTATAACCATTATAACGGAAAAATGGGTAAAATTGACGGTTTTCTGCAACTTTATAAAAATGTCCTTGATAACCGTAAATATCATTTGTTGATTGAAGAGTTTGGCTATAACCATGATAACAAAACAAGCGAGACAAAATTGTTGGGTTTTTGCAATCCGATGAAATAGAGCTTGATAAACGTAGAAATCATTTGCAGATTGATGAGTTTGACTATAACAATAACAACGAAAATTAATGAACAAAATTGACGGTTTTCTGCAAGCTCATGAAAAAGAACTTGATAAACATAGAAATTATTTGCTGATGATGAGTTTGGCTATAATCATGATACTAAAACAAGAGAACCAAAATTGACTGTTTTCTGTAGTCTGATGTAAAATATCTCGATAAACGTATAAATCATTTGCTGATTGATGAGTTTGGATGTAACATTTATAATGACAAAAGAGAGCAATATTAACAGTTTTCTACAAACTCATGAAAAAGCTCTTGATAAACGTAGAAATTATTTGTTGATTGATGAGTTTGGTTATAAAAATGATAACAGAAAAAGAGCAAAATTTGTAATTTTCTACAGCTTGATGAAAGAGCTCTTGATAAATTTTAGTAATCGTTTGCTGATTGAAAAGTTTTGCTATAACCATTATAACAGAAAAATAAGCAAAATTGATAAGTTTTTATAGCATGATGAAAGAACTCTTGATAATGTAGAAACCATTTGCTGCTTGATGAGGTAGGCTATAACCACGATAACAAAAAAATGAGCGAAACTAACGGTTTTTTTACAGCCTAATGAAACAACTTTTGATAAACGTAGCAATTATTTTATGATCTATGAGTTTATAACCATAATAAAAAAAAAAAAAAACAAGAAGAGCAGAAATGATGGTTTTATGAAGTCTCATGAAAAAACTCTTGATAAACGTAGAAATCATTTGTTGATGATGAATTTGGCTATAACCACGATAACAAAAAAAGAGAAAAATTTGACTAAACCATTTTCTAATTGAAGAGTTTTGCTATAACCATTATAACGGAAAAATAGGTAAAATTAACGGTTTTCTGCAACTTTATAAAAATGCCCTTGATAACCGTAAATATCATTTGCTTATTGATGAGTTTGGCTATAACCATGATAAAAAAAAATTGATGGATTTCTGCAATGTAATTAAAGAGCCCTTGATAAACGTAAAAATTATTTGCTTATTGATGAGTGTGGCTATAACCATAATAACAAAACAAGAGAGACAAAATTGACGGCTTTCTGTAATCCGATGAAAGAGAACTTGATAAACGTATAAATCATTTGCAGATTGATGAGTTTGACTATAACAATAATAACAAAAAATAATGAACAAAATCGACAGTTTTCTGCAAGCTCATGAAAAAAACTTGATAAACGTAGAAATTATTTGCTGATGATGAGTTTAGATATAATCATGATAACAAAAGAAGAGAACCAAAATTCATTGTTTTCTGCAGTCTGATGAAAGAAATCTTGATAAACGTATAAATCATTTGCTAATTGATGAGTTTGGCTGTAACAATTATAATGAAAAAGGGCAAAATTGACAGTTTTCTGTAGACTCATTAAAAAGCTCTTGATAAACGTAGAAATTATTTGTTGATTGATGAGTTTAGTTATAAAAATGATAACGAAAAAAGCAAAATTTGTAGTTTTCTACAGCCTGATGAAAGAGTTCTTGATAAATATAGAAATCGTTTACTGATTGAAAAGTTTTGCTATAGCAATTATAACGGAAAAATGAGCGAAATTGATAAGTTTTTACAGCATGATGAAATAGCTCGTGATAAACGTAGTAATCATTTGCTGCTTGATGAGATAAGTTATAACCATGATAACAAAAAAATGAGCGAAATTAACTGTTTTTTACAGCCTAATGAAACACCTGTTGATAAATGGAGAAATTATTTTCTGATATATGAGTTTATAACCATGATAAAAAAACAACAAGAAGAGCAAAAATGATGTTTATATGCACCCTCATGAAAAAGCTCTTGATAAACGTATAAATCATTTGTTGATGATGAGTTTGGCTATAACCAGGATAACAAAAAAAAGAGAGCAAAATTGACGGTTTTCTATAGTCCGATGAAAGAGATCTTATTAAACGTAGAAATTATTTGCTGATTAATCAGTTTGACTATAACCATGATAACAAAAAAAAAGGAGCAAAAGTGACGGTTTTCTGCAGGAAAATGTAAGAGCTCTTATAAACGTAAAAATTATTTGCTCATTAATGAGTTTGACTATAACCATGATAAAAGAACAAGAGAGACAAAGTTGACGGCTTTCTACAGACTCATGAAAAAGATCTTGATAAACGTAGAAATCATTTGTTGATTGATGAGTTTGGTTATAAAAATGATAACGAAAAAAAAAGAGCAAAATTTGCAGTTTTCTGTAACCTGAAGAAAGAGCTCTTGATAAATGTATAAATCAGTTGCTGATTGATGAGTTTCACTATAACAATAATAACAAAAAATAAAGCAAAATTTACAGTTTTCTACAATATGATGAAAGAGCTCTTGATAAACCTAAAAATCATTTGCTGATTGAAAAGTTCTGCTATAACTATTATAACGAAAAAGTAACAAAATGGTCGGTTTTCTCTAGCTTGATGAAAGAGTTCTTAATAATCGTAGAAA